TCCAATCCCTAACATTCTGTGGTTCTGTGATATATTAACAAAGCCGTACTAAATTTAAAATAGCCTCTTTTTCGAAGTATGCAATTCTTTAAGGACTTAATATTCAATGGAAAGTTCTTTCCAATGGCTGAGTACTACATTTTCAAAGTAAATTCCTGAAGAAAGCTCTGCTCTAGTGTTTTCTCAGTGAATTATTTCACTGCTCACTTCCCTGACCCATGAAATTAAAGCTTGTACTTAACTTAACCTCCCCTACATATTTTATAGGTATAATCAGCCTATCAAAAGTAAGTCTTAAATATCTCCCTTATCTGAGAAGTCTGCCATAGCTGTAAAAGTGTGACACTGGGCAACACCTTTTCCCTTTTTAAAATCTGGCTTTCCTACTCTGCTGTTACCTCCTGGAGCACCCACTTAAGGTCTTGATCTTGCAAACACTTATTTCCATCCATGTACACAGAAGATCAGTTCTGATTCCCATAGACAAAACTTTCACAACTACCATTTTGGTTTGAATGCTGACCATGCTCTTCAGTGCTGTTTTCATTGTGTATTATCCACATCTCTGCATTTTTTTTAGAAGCTGAATCTCATACCATGAAGCACTACTTTGCTGAATTTAGAAGAAGGATTACTAAGGCCAAAATAGGGTATTTTATATAGACATATCTGTTTTATTGTCTTACAGATTTTTCTTCTACAAAGTGTCCTTTGTCCTCTCTGCAGATGACCAATATGAAATGCCACTTAAATCTTCAAATACAGATTTAGCTGCCTAGTAAAGGACAAGACAGAATTATTGGGTTGATGAGAAAGCTCATGGTATATGAAAGTTCCCTGTACGACGCCACAGAACAGGGTTTGGGAGAACAGATCAACATCCAAGAGAGGAGTAACTGGGTACCAGTGCAACATTGGTGTGGCAGCAGTGTAACCCTGTCATCTGGGAATTGTACACTGTGGGCTGGTGGATGTGTTCAGTGCCTGAAGTATCAAATTTTAAGCACAAGTTGAAAAAGGATATATAGTAGGAATTTTTTTTTTTCTCCTGGTTTCTTTAGGATTACTCCTACACGATTACTACTCTATCCCTTGAAATCTTTAGCAAGGGGGGATAAAAGAAACATGCAGATCAACCATATCTCCCTAGACTCTGCATTCCCTGAGCTGGAAGGGACACCAAACATGAATAGGAAGGACTAAGCTATGGCCCAGGTACACTGAAGCTTCACAAAATACAGGGGTGGCCATGTTCATCAGTTCCCCCCACAGCCAGCTAACCCCACTCAGCTGCACTCCAGCTTGTGATACCACACCACTTCTCCTGCCATCAGCACCTCTTCCTCGCAAACCCCACCGGCGGCCTCCCCAGAGTATTCTCTAGGCTTCCTACAACCCCCCTCTTCAGCACCAGTGTGTGAACAGCAATGGGCCCTGGTGACTAGGCTGCCCACACCCCAGCAGAGACAGGGGCCATGACTCCCGCTCCCTATGAGGGTGCTGGTGTGCTCACAGGAGAGGACACTAACAGGACCATTTACAAGGCGGTAGCGAGGGGCTTGACAGCCGCAGGACGCTGCTACCGGTGCCGCTCCGTCACTCCCCTCAGCCGGCAACCGCTGCCGCCTGTTGGCGGGAAAGGCGCCACAGCTCCCCCCTCCGTCCGGCAGCAGCCAGCCCCAGCTTCTCACGGCCACCGGTACCAGGCCCCTGAAGGGCAGCACCAGTGCTGACAACTCCTTCTCCCCCACAAGTAAAGATAAAACCCAACCCCACCCGTTACCCACGGCTGCACCAGCCCATCAGCCACCACCTCGTCTGTTTGACAGCCTCACCGAGCACGCAGCTGTGGAGTGCACTGCCTTTGCTTTACTGGGACTAGACTCCTAGGCAGGTCACTGGAAAAGGGTCATGTACTGACAGCATAGTTAAGTACTAAAAGATAACATATTTGTAAAACTATTTTCTCTCATTAGTAAATACTGCATATTAACTGCTGCCAGCTGTCTGCAAACTTACCTTCCCGGACAGCACCACTAACTCTCTTTTCCTGATGTATTTCAGTTCATGTTTTTACAACTGCCATGCATTTCAGTCAGTCCTTCTCGTCTCTCACCTCTTCCAGGCCAAAAGACTGGAGAGCACAATGCAGCACCATTTGTTTCCACAGCACCAGGAGAGAAGGCCTACTCCTCACGGGGTTCAGCTGCACCTCTCCAAAAGGGAACAATCCCCTTTTGCTACGGATAGGCAAAATGTCACTGCACTAATCACAAAAAGACAATTTTTACCTCCCTTTATTACCTATCTGCCAAAACAGGAAGGGAGTACCACAGGTGGTTCCTGTGTAGATTCTTCAACAACCTCCTATCTAGGCTTTACCACAACCAGTGCTTCAGATTTCACTTTCTGGCTCAGCCATGGGTGCAGAGGCACACTTTGAGCCTAACCATCCTACTCTGAAAACCACCATCATGAAATGATGCAGAACAAGAGCACCAGATACAGAAGTATTGCGAAGCTGCATCGGCTGATGTTGTATACAGGGTCTGTTACCTTTAGAAGTCCTGATCTGATGAAGGCACTTCACAACATGAACTTACAGAAGAAGCAAAGTGAAGTGAAGTATTGCAAGTGATGTGTTTAACACATTCACACTTCACCAAAAAGGCAATCTGCTGGAGAAAAAAAGCTTAATAAGCAACTATTAAACTGCTCTCCCAGGAATTACTGCAACTACTGTTGCCATATTTTATTTTTTTTAGAACAAAAATAATTAAAAAAGAAACCCCAAATTTATTACCAAAAAAAGGAACAAACCAACCCCGCCCATCCAAGCCAGGCAGTTTGGTATAGTTGGAAATACAAGACAAAACCTCAAAGCTGTGCTAGCTCCCACAGCAACAGCTTCTGAAGTATCCTCTCTCCTTCCCATCTCTCTACAGTACTGTACCACCTTGCCATAAAGAGAAGGTAGTTGCAGTAGCCCACAATAATTTCAGGAATAGACAGAGCAAAAAGTCAGTATGAGAATGGATACTTCCTTTCTTACAATCAATTTCTGCTTTCCAGTTTATCAGAATATGTTTGGTTTTTTTTAAAAAAAAGGTAAGGCTGTTGCTCCCAAATAATAACAACTCTAAGAACAGGATTCTAGTTGTTGGTTGTCCTAAACAGCTGCATAACTATTTCTAAACCTCTCAAAATTTCACAAGGTAGCACTATGGAAAATTCCCACAAATGGGGCCAATATCAATTCTCCCTTCCATGCCAATGTAAATTCTTCTTCTTTTACCCAACCACTCCTTCCAACACCTCTCCCAGCAACTGTTCAGCATCACCTAAGCAGTACACACAGGAGACAGTGCTATAGGAGATATTCCTTGAGATAAACAAGGAATCCTGTTTTAGTTTCCACTTGTGTAATGTTCCACTGTTGACACATTAATTTCGAAATAATTATGACTTGATACACTCAAAAAAGTGTTCTCCATTTTTAACTGATCTTGATGCAACACACATTGTAGTTCTCTTAGCTAGTTCTTACTTTGGCAAAAGTTAGATGATTTAGGTATTGAAATTTATCTCACATTTAACTCTGGCAACTCATCGGTGTCTTATCAGACTTCTCTCAAATCAAGGCATTTAACTAAATGTATTAATGAACAAAAAACACAGAACATTTTTTAAGTAACAGACAAAAATAAGTTGTTATTTACAAGTAATATATATATATATAATAAAACTACTACCGTGATAGGCCTTTATACAATGTAACTGCAGTCAATTTTTGCATTGTTTAAAAAAAATTTCCTTGAACAGAAATTGTTCAGAATTATCAGTCTGTCCATACATGTGTATGTTATGAGAAATGCAACAGCTTTTCACATTTTAAAAATTATCAGCGTAATTTACATTTTTTCCCCTAATATCAAAGTGAAGATTTAAAAATGGTGCAAACTGGAACACAAAGACAAGTAGCTATGAATGCTGAAATACAATAAATTTGGGACATATTAGTGTTTCAAACTATAAATTTGTGAGAAAAATCCCTAATATTTGGCATGATCCCCTCACCGCCCACCACCAAAAGGTCAAAGCAAGGTAGCCTTTCAAAGTAACAGTGATTATTGCATATTGTATCTTTGGAAAAGCAGAGTTTTAACCAAAACTATTTAAAATGTTATTGAAATATAGATGCATTTATCTCAGGGAAGAAAGCAAAGCAGAACACATGATCAGTGAAGTTATCAAATCAATCCAGTTAATTTGTTCCATCCTTGCTCTGAGTCATCCCCCACACCTCAGGTAATCCAGTTGAGTGCATCAGTACTTCAGCAAGCGAAGAGCAACAATCCACTTTTACATGACCACCTTTTCATTCTGTAGAAGTCATTGAAGAATCATGGTCTTAACTTATATTAACCCCTCATTTAAGTGCTGACAGGTAAATTAACATACATTTCAAACTGATATAACAGGGAAAACATTTACCTTCTTTAAACCGGGATATACAAAAGACAATTTGCATAGTTACAATTCAAGCACAAAGTCACTGTAAATAGGTACAAAAGCATTTATAAATTTACTAAATTTGCTGCTGTTTGTGCCAGCCAAATCTTAGATAAGTATGAATGTAAACTTGAAGGGATTGAGGAGAACAGTCAGTGTTTTTGCTTAAAAAATATCTAGAGAATGCTTTTTAAAGGTTTTAAAAAATATTTTCTGCAGCAGGAACAAACAGTTCAGACCCCAGAGAAAGCCATCCAAAATGCCCAAATTCCTCCTATACAGCAGAGAAAGTTTGTTCATAGGTTCCAAACCTACATACAGAACGAGGCACTAGTTACGCTATTTTGGAATGTGTCTGTAACCCTAACATTTCAGTTCACCCCAAAACACTGTTGGCTTCTACCTTCCTAGGAAAACATATCTTCAGAAGGTGGTGCGTAAGAAAACCCAACAAATGCATCATCCGCCTCCAGGACACTGGCATTAACGATGTTGTAATCGGAAGAAACGCAAACTGAGTATGGGACCATTTCTTCTGTAAACACTGCATCAAAATTCCCAATATCATCTGGTCCAACCTAAAAGAGAGAGGTATCTATCAGATGTCATATTAATACTGTGTTTTAAATGTAATTTTGAAATCTAAAGGACAAGCACAACTCTTGAGGGTATCTACTTTAGATTTTCTTTCCCATTTAAGTACAGGAAATTAAAGGAAGCACACCACAGCATCCCTGAAAACAGCTATTAAAAGCCTGCTTGGTTCAGGCCAAAGCCTACTCACTTTTATGATCTGATAAACCCAAGAAATATGAAGAAATGCCTCCCTCTTAAGTGACTGTTAGGTAGATGCAAAAACTAACACCCTCCAAAAAAGACCCCACCAACCAACCAACCAAAAAACCACCCACAGAAAAACCAAACCCAAACCACACCAAATTATTTTTCTCTCTTTTCCATCAGTAATACTTTAAGTGTTCAATTCTAGTTGTTATGATAGATCAGCTTCCCAGTAACACACCTAAGAACTAAACATAGTAACATTTAGTCACCAAGAAGAGACAAGATAGCTAAAGCTTCCTCACCAAACACAGATTCAATAAAAGGTGATGCTCTGATGTGACTTTAGGAAGAACCTCCTCTCCACTGCTGCCATCCTGCTTCCCCCCACCAAGTTTTTGGACAAGCAGTCACAGGCTGACACAGTTTAAACTGATGGGAGGATAAAGAAAAGCTGCAACTAAGGTTTAGTAACTACAAAAAACCGAGGACATCAGTCTTTTGGGCAGTCTTTAAGTAATGAGGCTATCTGTATTTTGCTCTTTGGACTTCAAACCCCAGAAAAAATGACAGTAGTTTGACAGAAATGAACCAACAGTAAGATGTCAAACTGAATTTTCAGTTAAAAAAGACAGTATCACTGCTCAAAAGCATGACTGCTCAGAAGGCAAATCAGCACTGGGGGGTTCCCACTCTTCACCATTCTGAAACAATGTTCTTGGCAAACAGATGAGCCCTCAAAGGTAGAAATGTGACAGGTATGAACTAAAACAGCACGAGGTACCTACCACATTAGGATTAAACGGTGGTGGAATCTTCTTTTGAAGAAGATCAGTCCAGCTGAGAGATTCAAAGAATGGGTGCTTTTGAATTTCAAGCTGCAGTAAGGAATAAGGATTTTAGACATTTCAGAAATCCATCCTGTGCATCATAGTAAATACTACTTCAGACTGCAGAAACATAAGGAAGTCCTTCATCAGTTTATTTATTTAGTTTACTTTGCAATAAAAGCTATAGTTGATGAAAACAGCAATTAAAATCTGTTAGCCTGCCTTTACAAACTGGTTTCCTTTTCAGATCATATTTTCTGCCTTTAAACCTTAAAAAAATCAACCACATTGAAGTCTACCACAGAGCAAGAATACTTTTTGTTGGTGTCTCTGCTCCTGCCTTTAAGTTTTGTTAGTTTTTCCAAAGCAGATCATGGTCTGAGAAATGACTGCTTCAACAACTCTGCAATATGCTCACTAGTTACAAAGCAGCAACAGCTATGCAAAGCGCTACCAAACTATCATCTTGCTCCACACTGGGGGAAAATACAATACCTAGTCAAAATGCTCTGTTACAAGGTCAACAGACTACCTAACATTAAGGCTGCAAACAGACGACTATGAAGATCTCACAATTAATGGATGGAAGAAGTCCTTCTAGATCACTCCTCACTGCACAGTTCTGAAAACATCTGCCATGATTTTAAGGCTAAAAAAACCAAAGCTGCTGTTTGCACAGTACTGGTGTTCCTCTTTATCTGAAGACTGTTTTTCATGTAGTTAGTTAAACTGATATTACCAGAAAATAGCCTTCTGTGGATTACTTCCCAGTTTCACTATGAACAGTGAAACCTATCTTAGTAAACCTCAGTGAATACGACATCAGCAACCAAGCTCAAAATGCTTTTATCCCACAGCAACCATCTCTCCCCTATCCCCAACAGCTTTCAGAGATTTACCACACTGGTGTCTTTAATGAAGAAATGAAAGGGAGGAGAAGAGAGACAGACACAAGAGAACAATCTCTATCCAACTATTAAACCTGTGCTGTGCACATGGATTTGATGATTTTGGTCTCTTTAAATGAAGTAGAGTTTGATAAATTAGGACATTACTTACAAAATCTTCCCTTGCTCCCAGTCTGCTTTGCCGATCTTTCTCCAAAAGTTCTTCCAGAATAGACCAGGCTGTAAGACTGATTCCTGGGCGCAAAACCAGGGGTTTATGAAGAATATTCTCATACATCTCAGCAACATCACGGCAGTAAAAAGGAGGCTAAAAAAAAAAGTTATACATTAACTTCAAAATCATTAAGTGATTCTATTACAAATGTAAACTGCTAGCAGCAAAGAAGAATCGACCTCTTCTCAGGCACTTCTGACTTCTAATCTTTACACTTAATAGCTTCCCCACCCACCTCTTCTCTAACATGTTCTCAGACTCATCAGTAGCCGTAGATGCCACCCAGCTTCAAAGTCCCCATTGAATTTGCCTGAAAAGAATATCAGAATGGAAAAACAAATCTATCTCCCTATTTAAGGTCCTATAGGAGGAGATAAAACTCAAGCAAACAAGCAGACAGACTGTTACTGGAGTATTTGCATACACCTAGAAGCAGCATAGTAAGATTTTTTTGTTCTAATGCTGCATCAAGAAGGGTGTAAGCGAGAAGAGAACCTAGGAGACCTAAGTGAAAAAAGGTATTTTAATTTTATTATTCCAGTATTTGGCAAAATTTTACTTTTAAGTTGGGTTTTTTAATTGGGTATTTTCACTGTTGATTCAGTTTACTCTTTCATTCCCTCAAAGTGATAACTACTTGTCTTCATTACAGTGAATGCCTAGCCGTTCACTGGAAAGCAAAATTTTAGACATCAAGCAGCAATGCAAAAATCCAAAGGAGAAAAAGAGGCACTATGTTAAGTTTAAGTCAAACTGTTCATCCATTTAAGTGGAGTACTTCCCTATTTTGCAAAAGTTAGCATCTTTAACACTCCAGGGTTACTTCACAAAGGGGGAGGGTAGAGGTGGGCAAGCCCTGCTCCCCACATACATACGTACCAGCCCATAAAGCATTTCATAGAGAACTGCACCAAGGCACCACCAGTCTACTGTGTTGTCATAGGGCTGCTTTTTAATGACTTCTGGTGCAAGATACTAAAAAAAAAAAATAAATTATTTTAGAGCATGAGGCTAGCAAGAATAAAACCTAGGTTTCAGTCACATCACAGTAAACAACTTCAGGAAAAGTTGCTTCACAGCAATTGAAAGACTGCTAAGTGTTTAGCTTGTCCTTCAACCAACCTGGCAAATACTTCGTCACCATCTGTTCAGTTACCAAGTAGGTCAGCTGTTTTCCCAACTGAAACAATACTTCCCACACACTATTGTTTTGCCAAACTACTTTGCCACCTCTATTATGAAACTTGTTTTACATTTCAGATAGATGATGCCTCTGCAACAGTGCAGAGACCTCTCAGCAAGCTGGCTACTAGCCATACCTATTCTGCCACCCTCAGCCTGTATGCTCCCTATCCAGTACATAAAAAAAGGTGAAGATCTTAACTCTGCTTCAAATCTATCGTTACTGAGAAGTTGTGTGACCTATATTAAGTTTCACTCTAAATCTCAATGAGGGCATGAGTTGTGAGTTACTAAATTAAGAGATTCTTGTCAAATAGGTATCACTTGACTGATTGTGACAAATACCCGATACCACCAAACACTGAATGAGAATGCTAACTGGTTTCCATCTGCATTGAAAGAAATCTACTCAGCATCTCAGAGCTTACCAGTGCTACAGCACAAGGACAGCCACTTCATAATATGAGACTATTCTCTGTGAATATGTAATCTAAAATTACTATGGCTGGATCATCATCACCTCCATCCTCCTCTACGGCACACACAGTTTCTAACCTCTTGAAACAAGAGGATGCTCACTTCTGAAAGTTCATTTACAAATAAATGACAGCATTGTCAGACAAGGCACAGACGGACATTCACAGTTTAATTAGATCAGTATTTCTCAAACTTTCTGTATGAGTGCCCTGTAACTCATTTGACCACAGATGACCATGCAAAAGCATGAAAAGCAGTTGGAAGTATTTTGAACTCAACAACTTAAGCTTTTTTTAACCCTTTCACGACCTCCTTAGAGCTTTTTAGGTGTTGGAACTCACCAAGTCATTCAGCTCAGTGTTCAGAAACACTGAGATGATCATTACACTTCTAGCAGGATTATGAAAGATTTTAATCTAAGTCTTGGATTAGAAAGGCTAATATACACCTGCTATGTTTAGTCTTGGTATTTTTTAAGAACTCATATATAGCAACAGCACTAGCATCCTCTTATGTTGCAATTCACGCAAGTCCACGGTAAGTGTGAAGGCTAAGCCTTTGAACATGAGAAAAAAACTAAACAACTCCACAGATTTTCTCAAACAGATCCAGAGTTCCAGTGTTCTATTTATTGTCCTTCGAACTTTCAGAAATATTCACTAAATATTGTCTCAGCTCACATTTACCACTCAGCTTTACGGATTCCTACTCTGATCATAACTAGAATAAGCTGTCACATATTGCCACCTGCCCTTTTCTTGTTGTTGGGTTGGTTTAAGCTTTTTTATTTTGATTTCAAATGTTTCATCTAAATACTACTCCTCACTCATCCTTCACTGCCTTCAAAGGCCTTTTCTGTAATTTAAAGTATATTCATCAATTACCAAAGCCACTAATCCTGGCATTTCAGTGAATCCCTCATATGTGTTCAAGATTTTCAGATTCCGAGTTTTCCAGTGTAGTTTTCTCAATAAATAGAGACAATAGAGTTCAATAAACTTGGACAAGTTAAAAGTTTCACGCATACACAAATTCTGCTCAAGAGTCACAGATATTAAGTCTCTATAAACTTAGTAAAAGTCAGTGGCAGGATATGGTAAGTAGATTCATATTGGCAAATCTGTTGCAGCTGTCACACAAGCTAACTGTCCTGTGTCTAGCCAGCGGTTAGGAGACAAGAGGAAGGAAGAGATGAGCTATGAGGATGTGGGCACTAAGTAGGAGACACTGTGTATTAGTAAAATGGACAAAGAACAGAACTGCAGGAAGCTTGTCTGCTGTGGTTTCATGAAAGAGCTTGTTGAAAGAATGCAAATCTCTAAGAGTACAAAAGGGAGTACTTGATCTTCCAGTTGCACAAACATTAATAATAATCAGCAGTCATTAATTACTAGCCAAAAACCACAAAAGTTGTCAACGTACTTCTGGTGTCCCACAGAAAGTTGCAGTGGTATCAGAACTTGCAATCCCTTCTTTACAAAGTCCAAAGTCTGTCAGCACAACATGACCCTGTTTAAGGAAGAGTGGCATTTTAAAAACAGAACATGCTCAACGTGTGGACACACACAAATGTCAGTTTTGTGAAAGAACATAGAAAACTAAGAATAATGTTGGATACTTACTAGTGAATCTAGGAGAATGTTCTCTGGCTTTAAATCCCTGTATTAAAAAGCAGTGAAATGTATTAATTCAAAACAGCAGTCACTAACACAAGAGCTTCAGAGGCCAGGATTTTTATTCTTCAACTGAAAGTTTTAAGTTTTGGTGAAATTGCTGTGTTCAAACTTCCCATAATATCATTTCAGACAGTGGTTTTTATTCAGTAATTTGTCCTATTTTGAAGGACAAGAATACACTCCAGAAACTTACCTGTACACTATATTTATGGAGTGTAAGTAGCCCAGTGCACTGGCTATTTCAGCAGCATAAAATCTGGCTCTGTGCTCAGGAAAGGAACGTTCTCTTTGTAAGTGAAAGAACAGCTGTAAATACACAAATAATAAATAAAAACATTATACACCAAAAAATCAGATCAATAATTTGGAATTTTAATAGCAAAAGGTAATTTTATTTAGCTGCCCACTTTTAAAAAAAACAAACATAAAATGAAATGCAAATAGTTTTGTTGCAAAACTTGGCAATTTCTTTACTCTCATCCTTTCTTCTCTTTTGTAGCTCAGAAATAGACAGGTAACTTAAACACATAAGGACATTCCCCTAAAACCAGGGCTAGTCAGAAGGAACTAGAGTAAACCACTAAGCTGTGAATAGATGTTGGCAAGATTGAATCACGCAAGATAGCCTCCTAACAGAATAGAACTTGGTGTCAAGTAAGTAATCTTTCACTTCTGTATATGCTTGTATTCAAAGTTTGGCATGTCAGTATTTATATTACTGTATTCTGAAATAATCTAGATGTAGATCACTTTGGGAGATGTATATTCCAAGCTGATCCCCAAATTCTCTCAACTACAGAGAGCTGTCTGGCTTCAAACAGTTGAGCAGATACAGAAGTCCAGGCAAAGATTAAATCATAAACATACAGATGAAACTATACTACCCATTCAGCTTCTAAAAATTTAAAGAAAACAGAAATTTCCTGTTTTCCGCCTACACAGTTTGGGAAAAATAAAAAGCTCATAGCCTATTCTAAAGGATTATTTCATTCCTCCCACCTAGAATTAGCAAAACAGACAGACTCATCCAAACACACCACCACGTACCTCTCCTCCATTTACAAAATCCAGGACAAAGTAAAGCTTTTCCGTTGTTTGGAATGAGTAATGCAATCCAACCAAAAATGGATGTTTCACGTTTTTCAAAAGCACATTACGTTCAGCCATAATATGTTTTTGCTGTAAGGAAGTAAAGGATCAGGAAGTAAACAGGAATGATTTTGTAATTAAGGGAAGAAGGAAGGGAGGTGGGTGGAGAAAGAACATTTCTCTTCACCTCTTTCCTATTAAGAACAATTTTTTTCTGCAGCACTTTGACAGCATAGTATTTCCCATCCAGTTTTCGTTTTGCAAGAAGAACCTATGAAATTCAAAACAAATTGAGAAATGCGATTGTTGCAGTTCACATTCTATTAGTAATATTTTCATAATTTCAGCTAACTGGAAAGTATTCGTGCTATTTTTTCACAATAGTTTCTTTACTTTTAATATAATCAATTAGCAATATAATCACGAACAGAGCGAACTTACAGTTCAGTAAAATGACAGTGATGATATGAAAGACTGAATTATAATGTTTATATTCCAGGACGTGCTGAATCTCTATCAAGAGCAATTTGAGCTCATTTTGTAAGTTTTAAAGGTAATTTAATGAAAAACAACAACTTGAAAAATAACCCAAAACCAAAGATTTCAAGGAGGATTCTCTATTGCGTCTTTGTAGACTATAAATATTTAAGTTACTTTTCATGGGCTGTTGTTCACACTGTTCCACAGCATTAGGGGTTTGACAAAACAGTCCCTGCCAACAAAGGAAATGCACAGATTCATACTCCAGTGCTGCATAAGCACAGGGGTACCTCCCTTCCTCTCTGGGGGAAACAGAGGATCCCTATTGCTCTTAATGAGAAAGGGAAATGCTCCCTTTTGTTACTCCCAACAAGTGACCAAGGCAGCCACTAACTGCCACACCAAGGAAAACATGGCAGGGCTATAAAGCAGCAGCAACAGGGATCCAACGTGACAGTTTATATACCACCCTAGTCTGACACCAGTTCCTAAACCTCTGGCCAAATCTCAAGAAAACAGTCACTATACACAAGACACCAACTAGCATCCTTGCACCAGGGTAAGACCCAGTAATAAGAAAGCTCACCTTGCCAAAGCTGCCTTTCCCAATAACTTTCAGGAAATCAAAGTCTGTTGGTTTAGCGCTGAAAGATATTTAGGAAGGAGAGAGGTCATTTGGGTAGAAATTACAAGCTTCACAGCTGTACAGCAGTCTACTGTAGCAATGAGCTGTTTGGTGAGAACAGCCTGTTAGCATCCTTCACTCTACCCAACACGTGGATTCTGCAGACCTTCCCTTGGAGATGACCACTCCTCTTCATCTTGCAAGTCCATTTTCCTCCAGGGAAAGCACTCATCCTTTGAGTTTATTTTATTTTTTAAGTGTAAGATGTAAAGGAGGAGCAAGACTGTTCTTTTACTCTCCATAGTCTTGTTTCCTGTACTTTTTAAGTCTCCATTCCCTCATGATTTTTCCTGGAGCTTATTTCTCATTTCCAGAGGGCCAAATGGATTCTCAAGCTTACATTAGGG